TATGCACTCTTACCTACCTGCCTATAATCTATCCATCACATATTATATGCAGTAAATACATCATTCTTGGTGTGTAAACTGATCAAGTATTTGGTTGACCTTGTTAAAACACAATAGGAATTGTTTATATATAGCAGTGATCAAACTTAAATTAATTACAAACAACAATAGGGAGGGATTCGGAAGGAGCGGAGGACATATGATATGATAGCGTTTTTGACATATTCAAATTTCAAAGTTAAAAAGACTCTGACAGAAATTTAGAGTGTAATTGGAAAAATTTAAACAATATTTTGAGAATTAAATGTTTTGTTTATATTACGGCTTTTATTACAGTATGACCGCGGTTTCTTGTTTCATATATACTGAAAATATAGAGAAAAATATCAAAATGCAATGCCTATATAAAAGTACTATAAAGTTTAAATGTGCGTGTGCATTTCTTCGTCGTGCACTATGAAAATGACTAAAATCAAAAGGTCGGGTTGTTTTAAGCTTTTACAACTAACCTTACCTCAAAACAAGACACTTACCAAGTTATTTTCTTCAGTATTTTCCCCTCAATCTTCAGAAAAAACCCACAAAGTTTAAATGACATTTATTTTGCTGTAAAAGCCCGTTTGATTTCTTGCTCTCGTGATATTCGTCGCATTCGTCCGTTTTGCATCCCAGCGGTTCGCAACAACCAATAAAAACACGTTTTCGTGTTGTTCAAATCATTATTTTACCGTCTATTTATAACAATGCTGTTCACGGTTGTTCGAACAACTAAAAACAACTTGTTCTTTCATCAATGTTGTTCACGCTTGTTCGAACAATATTGTTGACGCCTGATGAATGAACAACGCTGAACAACATTGTTCTGACAACATTTATCAAGCATGTTTCATTAACCTTGTCGGACGCTTGTTCCATCATGTTGCAACAACCATTGTTCGTTCATCAAGCGTGAACAAGTTGTTGGAACAATGTTGTTAACGATTGTCGCTTGAACAACGTTGTTCAGCCATGATAACCTCATTGTTGCAACGTTGTTCAGCGAACAATGTTGCAACAACCTGATCAATTTTTACGCGTGTAAGCAATTTCCTGCACTACACGGTCAGCGGTAGTCAATCTTAACTTAACATCGCTCTATGTCTTAGCAACTTGCATAGCAACAACGCTGTAATAAAAACAAATATTAAAAATTGTGAAATTAACTTCATTTCACCCGGTTTTTAACGTTGTTTCATCTGAATAAGTTGTCGGTAGCTTTTTTATTATCATTATCAAACATGAACTAAACAACAATAAATAAAACGAACGAAATTTCACTTTAATATCATGTTATAGTTTAATATACAGTTTGTAGTCGATCATATTGCATTATTTTTGGACGTCGTATAAAAGAACTTAGCACTAGAGCAGAGTATAGCCTAGACTTTAAACTAGAGAACTTATTAAGACCTGACGCCTAGACTTTTACATCAAATAATCAAACATTTTTATCCAATACAGTGTAATCTTGCAGCCTCGATTCATCAGCGCATCTTATTGTCTAAAACACAAACATTCGTGGAAACCATAAAAATATACAAGATCCAAATCTATTTTATACCCAGTGTTATTATAATTATAGTATACAATAACTATAACACTCTCGAAGTTTTGGATAAAATCGAGGATAAAATAAATTGAGTTTGAAGTTTTTGTTTTAAAATATTAGATTTTCCAAATTTTTCGGTTAAAACTGCTGACGACATTTTCACTGCAAAAGACTTTTGAAAGTGCGAAAGCAATGCATATGATCAGCTTTTGCTCAATGTTCGATAGAAGAAACATCAACCTTCGATCGAGTACCCCAGATTACAAGTTAGATAGAGGCCAAGAATCAATCTCAAACTATTTTATTTCAACGAATATCGAACATAATACTTCTCGCCTAGCATCCGAAGAAGAACTACGGTGTTGGCAGAATTTTAACCTATAAAGCGCCCAGCATATTCTCAACTTACTAGGTTCGTGCTGTACAGAACTATGTGATAAATATGCTCTGAAAACATATTAAAAATGCTTCAATACTTATGAAACTTTAGCAATACATCGACAGAACTAATGCAAATAACAGCCGGTCACAACACTTCGTATTGTTTACAACATTCAAAAAATATGACAGGCAAAAGTGGAAAAAACAGGGCCTGAAAAAGGGTCTTATTTCAGCCATGATATCTTCTAAGAATCAACTTCGATTTTTATGAAAGATTCAAGTACGTACACATAAAATAATGAACTCTAACATACCTTAGTTCGTAGGTGTTGGCAGTAGATTCACACAAGATATCCTCATTTGAAATTTAGTTTCCATGGAAGTCATAAAAAGGCACGGACATTATCGACCATAAATTCTCTTCTACAAGCTATTTTACCATTACAGCACACATACCCTTTAGCCAAAGAAATTTTTTAGCCATTTTGCCATTTAAACCATTCTAACACCAAAAAGATTGAGAGAAATGGCCAGACGAACTGAACAACTCAAAATCGCGGTTTTTTTCAATTTCCTTCAAAATCGTACTCGCCCCAGTTTTTTTCCGCATCACACGTCGATCAGCGCGCGCGCTCTCGTTGCGCCGCCCTATATATAAGCGCCCTGATGTACACAGATCGCAATTAATTAAATTAAATCTTCTTAAATTATAAATTAAATTATATTAAATTTCATAAATTCTTAAACAGGCTCAGTCAAAATGACCGCCAGGTAAGGAGCGGAAACTATACGATAGGATTTTTTTGTCTTGTTTGTTTATTACTATTGATATAGTGTTCTTTGAATTTTGAAACTTAGCATGCTCAAATGTTTCTATTACCTGCGTATTAGTTGAACCCTATAGCCTGTCTACGGACGTTTTAAAATCCTTAAACGTTTGTGACTTGAGGGCCTTCGGTTTTTTCACTATATATTGATGCTGTTTTCTTTGAATTTTTAAACCTAACAAACTCCAATATTTGTAGTATATTACCTGGGTATTAGTTCCCTTATACACGCTATGTAACAGCCACGCATTATAAGGCCAGTGTGAACGCCTGCATGAGCAGGCGTCTTGTTTGAGTTTATTTTGATAGCAGTCAAACAATTTAAAGTTTTACTTCTATTTTTGATATGGATAATAAGAAATACTGCAAAAAGATATTGATAAACTTTAATTCTGGACATTTAAGTTTCCTTCTCTTATCAGTTATCAAAACATTGCATATATTTTTCTTTATCATAAGTATTTTACGTTTTAAATATTTCCAAAGCTTGCGAACTATAGCTATAGTTGAAATAAACTCAGCTGTCAGTCAAACGTAAGTGATTGAGTATTCTTGTTCAACAAATTACAAGTTAGCCAATCCAAAATGTAATTATGATGTATTGTACTATAAAGAAATTCCGTCGGTAGTAGAAGCTTGTATCTAAATGATTCCCTTTAGAAGTTAACCCACCAGGTTCCACCCCACCATCCTTCCAAGCGATATCCTCATTTATCCGTGGTCTTACACTACCATGTATACCAACACAGTGGTTGTGGTAGGTCTTTAAGTATTTACACGGATTGAGAAGTCTCCTTTTCATCTTGTTCCTTAATACCCAAATCAGTTTGTTTTCCGCTCCAAGGACATTCATATCATAATCCAACTCTGCCAGGACAGACTCGTCTAAAGGTTGTGCAAGCACAAAAATGTAGGCATCGTGTAAACCGAAATAGCTTACTTCACAATATCCAAGTTTTCCGCCCATATTGCATCTTTTTTCCTGACGTCCATGGCGTGTCAAGACGTAAGATGTTTTAGTTTTTACTATAAATGTTTTGTTTATCATTTCAAATCCTTCGCCAATATAAATATCCATGTTCATCATAACCACAAGCTGATTTTGGAGTCTGTTGTTTACGTAATCGAAGAAATCTCTGTATTTCCGCAAGGCGTTGATGTGATGTACAAATATTTTGTGTTTGTTGTGAAAATTTTGTTCGCTCAATCTTTGTTCGGCTAATGGTTGATTAACGAGAAGATGAACAGTTGTGACTAAAGTGTGGTTGAGATTTTTCTGTAATGTTTCTTCTAGTTCTTCCTGTCGTTGCCATAGTCTGGATCTGTTGGTTTCTGTTTGGCCTTCGTTCCAGGGTTTTTCACTCATCAGCGGAAAGTTAGTGATTACATGGATACGTAATTCCTCCTTTTGAAGTGTTTGCTCTTCGTTCGAAGGTTTTTCATTCATCGGTGAAGAGTTAGTTGTCACATGGATATGTGATTCGTCCTTCTGAATTGTGAGGTCATAACGGTTTTTCAAAGCTGATTTTTGCCAGATTAAGCCGTATATGATACAAATCGCTCCAGAAACCAAAAATAACTTGCAGTACACCTTCCGTTTGAACATGGCTATTCCTTGCGAAATTCGGGATAATTACTAGGGATTTATCATTTAGAAGGTGACACGTGTTGGTTTGATTTACCAAGTGAAGGCTTGTGATGCGTTTCTTCAAGATCGATTTTTCACATCAGCCTAAATATAGATTATGAATCTTTTGACACAGATTATAAATATTAATCTTCTAAAGATGGCTAGCCTAGCCACATTTGTATTCTAGATTTAATATTTGTATATTTTGCAATGAGACGCTGCATATGTATTTGAACCTGCACTCAACATTGAAAACCACTACAGCGCCATCGCTAAAACCGCAGGTATATAAATTGGAAATAAAGAACATTCATTTCAAAGATTATTTTGGAACGGCAGTCTTAATTTTCATACTGTTTAAATGCATTTTTTGCGTGAAAATTAAGAGTGCCGTACGGGGCTTTAATGTTAGAATAGCCTCATCATGCAGTTACCGTCGCTTGCAACTAAGGACGAACGGTCGCAGATAAAACATTGTCTATTTTCATGACAATGTTCAATGTTTTTACCGAGAAAGTTCAATGTTTGTGATGATCATTTGATGGTTTCAATTTGCTCAGCCAATCAGGTTAGAGCTGGTTGAATGTGATTGGATGATCAGATTAAAACTTATACCAAGTGCTCTTGACAAACATTGACGATTCTCACACGACTTTTATCAGCGACCGTTCATCCTTAGTTGAAGGCGAGGGTATTCTGGAAATTTTTTCTCAAATCTGTCGCATTTCAGACCATGCAGTTCAGTTGTGGAACATTGAAATTTTAACAAAATGCCCGTAAAGCCGCGGCTACACGGGCGATCTTTGACGGCAATGTTCTCTTCCTAGCGTGTGTTATTGTGTGAATTATGTACACAGTAGCGTAAAACCTTGTTTTTGACATTGTGCAGGTGTCAAATTGAACCCAGCCATTGTGCGGGTTGTTATAAAAGTTTGCCTAGCCATTTTATTGTCCTGGTATTGGTAATATATTACGGATACTGATAGTGTAAACACAATAAGACCAAAGGCAGTGAAAGTAAAATTACTATTTTAAGCACTAATTTCGAATTTTATCACAAATTCTGATTATGATGGCAGTCACTATAGAAATGTAGGCTACTAGTTTCATGTACCTGCTTATAAAGTTCCCTTTTGGCTAGCGACATGTACGCAGTCGTACCTATATTTTATTTTATTATATTTTGCATTAAAAATTACTCTACATTATCAAGTATAACATACTTAGTTGCCTTCATGTATTACATGTGAGTTGGGGGGGGGGAGTAGTTTGATATAATGATATAAAAAACATCATGATAATGCACCGTTATATATTTAATATAACTTTATATATATTGTAAAATAGTACTGACAAGCCCAAATACGCACTGATTCACAATATTGGTGGACTTATACTTGTTGGCTATGTCATTTCACTTTTGTCTGATCCGTTAATTGCTGGTGGTTGAGGAGAAATATTTTAACGAGAGGGGCGGTTACGAATTTCGAAAAATTCAAATTTTTAACGTGTTCGGAGAAAAGACTTTAATTAATTTAAATTAAGATGTTTTCATTCTTCATGGAATGACGAAAGAAAGGATTTTACAAGTTGGAAAGATTGAACATAAATATGTATAGCCGCGGCTTTAGAAGCGTTTGGCAATTAATGTTTTATCTGCGAGTTTTGTTGAAATTTATGTCTTGCCCAGTTTCGCCTGGTTAGTGGTTATATTAGAATTAATTCTACAAAAATTCTAAATAAACAAAGATTTAAAAGCATCAGTTGCTTGTCCATAATTACGTCAAAGCACATGCGAGTTTGCATGCTATAAAGCAAAACATTTAAGCAAAGGCTATACCAATATAAAACGGTTCTACTTCGAGAACCAATTAAAGGACTAGTGTTTTGTTCAATCATTTAGATTATTTTAACATCATGATTTTTCTGTGTTGGTGCAATGTACTCAGGTGAATATGATGCTTGTGATGTTACTCTGAGTGTATATCCACACAGGGCAAGCTTGAAAAATATGCCTGACCACGATGGCATATTTTTCATGCTTGCTCGGTGTGGATATACACTCAGAGTAACATTTTTCAGGCATATTTTTCAAGCTTGCCCGGTGTGGATATACACTCAGATATACACTCTTTATTTTGTCCGGTGACCTATGTTCAAATTTTGCATGCTGTATTGCACCGCTAAAAACTTTCATTATACAAAAAATAAAAAAATTCTGTAATGCCAAAACAATTTTACCGAAGAATATGTCATTTTCGCATTTTCCAAAAAAATGGCATTATAGAATTTTTTTATATTTTGCTAATTGGTGGCTTTCCGTCCAAGTAAAATAATGCACGAAAAAAAATTGGGGGTCACCGTGCTTTTTTTTCCAGCTATACGAGACGTTAGACCATTTTGGAGTGAATTTTGTACACGTATGTCGTCATAGCAACGAACTATCTGTTACTAAAACTAATATAATTTGAAAGTAGAGTTATCAAAATATATAAGAAACCCAATATCTGTTCAATAAATCCTAAAAATGCGTAGTTTGAACATGTCAAAGTGTTAAACACCTGAATTTTTGAAAACTGTATCGAGCCACCTTAAAGGTCATGAGCTGGCCAACCAGGAGGCGGTTGTATAAAAAATGATTAAATTTAAGTTAACTATAGTTAGTGGAAACGTCATCCAATAAGAAGCGCCTATTTGAGAGTTAATGACTATTTAACTACAAAATAGTGATTAAAAAAGTGATTAAAAGTTTTATACAACCGGCCCCAGCTCACTAGACTGAAAATATGTATGTTATAATACATAATTTGGCCCAAGCAAGTAAGAAATGAATTAATATAAGCCTTCTGAAGCTGTTGTATTAATAGTAAATTAACTAGCATTTTTCTTTTAAAGACCCATGGAATTTCTTGAACTATAGCAATAGTAAATAAATTCACATTAAACAGCCCAAACAGCTTTGTTGGCGTGGTCATGCTTGAGCCGTGAAAATAATTACAGTGAAAATAACTATAGTGTATAATAACTACAGTGAAACACGTAATCTGATTGTTCAATATACCCGTGCAGGATGAGACAATCCTGCACGGAAAACTTAAATGCTTTCCTCGGGGTTTTCAAAATGTCGGACAACGCCGGTGTCACAGGAAATTTGCCCCCCCCCCTAGGAAATATGGCCCCCTCTTCGGAAATTTGGCCCCCCTTAAAAAATTATAGTTTGTTTTATCTTTAGGATCAGAAATCGTGAGGCTTCTACTAAAACAAATTTCTAGAAATTTTTCTCAACATTTATAGTTAGTTTGCGTAATTTTTTTTGTGTCAAAATTCTCCATTGAATTGCCGAATACTGACGAGAATTAGGCCAAGAGCTAAAGTTTAGCGTACTTTTCGCGTTTGGTTTTGACCAGCTTTGTAGAACACAACGTTAATAAATAATGGCTGTATCATTAAGCTATGGAAACCGAACGTCATTCAAACCTTTGTGCTTTTGTGTGTGCGGAATGTTTTTGTGAGCCATGAAGCATGCAATGCAGTCTACTTTCGTTTTTACGGAATGCTTCTGTAGTGCATCCCAACCATATGAGCGATTATATATATATTGTGTATATGTAAGTAAAATGCATCAGAAAAGGTTTTTTTACGAAGTAACCACTCATTTGATTTAATTTGTTTTTCGAACAAACGTTTCCACTTAAAAGTCTACTTTTACCGCTAATTATTACCTGTTATTTATTAGATGCGTGCATATTAACATATTCGCCAACGCATGATGTCATCGTTTAATTGCTAAAGTGCGGTTGTTGTTCTTACTAATTTTATACTATGTGACTGAATTTATAGATCTAAATAACTTGTAATATCTTAGAAATTCCTATCTCTATAAATCGTTTCGTGCTCTTAGCTTAAAGCTAAGCCATCATGCATTAACGTTGTCCTCTACAGATACCCATGTGTGATGTGTCTGGCATGACTGCACTAGCACATTATTATTATTACGCTTTCCTTCAAACTTTTAGCTCTTGGCCGCAATATGAAGAATTTCGACACAAATAAATTATGGAAACTAACTATAAATACTGACAAACACTTTTAGGATCTTGGTTTTAGAAGAAGCTTCACGATTTCCGAGCTTATAGCGATAAAGTAAACTATAAAGTTTGTTCGTTCACTGCAACCAGGTATATCAATGATGTTTCGCTCGCTACTCTGGTTTAAATAAATGATTTGAGCGTGGCATATAAATATGAGTCATCATGCTTTGAATAGGGATGACGGCGCCTATTTGCCAGAAGAATATATGCATCTTCTTGGCAGGTGACGTCATCCCTTGGGTATTTAAGAAGCCACGATCGCAGTTTCAGATCACCCCTGATGAAGACACTAGACTGGAGTGTCGAAACGTTGGGTCTTGATTACAATTCGACTGGGCTTTGTAATCATTTATTTAAACCAGAGTAGCGAGCGAAACATGAAAGTAAACTATGTTTTCGAGGGGGCCAAATTTCCGAAGGGGAGGCCATATTTCCTAGGAAATATGGCCCCCAGGGGGGGCCAAATTTCCTGGGACACCGGAAAACATTTCAATGCGTGAAATAAACAGTAACAGTATATTATTAAACGAGCGGCAAGTTCACCAAAACAGTGAACAAAGGATCACAATAACTACAGAGAGTGAATTAACTTGACCATTGTTTCACTGTAGTTATTTTATAAAACAATTACCAAATGGTTTTTTCGTGCAAGATTATGCACTTGCGATGTTTCTCGAGCTTTTTTACGCCTTCCGAAAGTCTCGAAACATCCCGAGTGCATGGAACACGCAATCCCGCACGGAAAACCATTCGATATTCTTTTAGTAAATAACATAGCAGTATGAAGAACTACGACATCGCACCAGAATGCATTTTTAGTGCAGAGTTTCTTTGAAACTGTGCACTATTGTGATGAGTGGGAAAATTCACATCAGTCAGTCAGTC